TCATGCTTAAATATTTCTTGTTTCATGATTTGGATCTTGGATTTTATGATTGTATACTCATGCCTTGGATTAATGTTTCCTGGTTTTCTGGATTGTATTAGAGAAGTGTGGACTTTGTTTTCAGGGACTTTGCTGAACTTTACCCTGGACTATTTTGTTCCTGCTTATCTTCTTACCTAATTGGATTTACCTATTTCTTTAAAGTGCTTTTTACTTTGCTGCTTTTTAATTATCTCCAATAAAAGGATTGTTTTCCTATTAAATGTGTGGTGTTTAAAAGTCAGAGGGTTTTTCCTGTGCAGGAGTGCAGCAAAGACAACATAGCAATGATGGTCATGATCACAAAAATCATGCCACGGCAAATGAATCTGTAAGATGGGAAGACTTATGTAAGTATAGCAGGAGAAAAGTGGCATGGGTAGAACTACTTGGGTCCAAGTGATTTACTGAGCCTAACAGACAGATAGGAACTCGTCAAAGTGAGTTAAAACTCCATTCCTAAATGGCTTCGCATTCAAAACCTCCATGTAGTACTTATCCCAACAGAAGAAAACAGTAGGCTGCAAATGGAGATGTGTCTGATTTTTATACGACGTTGTGATAGCAGGAAATCGCATCAAGCAATCAACCATCTATTGCCCCCTTACTGTGGAAGAAAAACAAACATCTCTTTCCCTTTGCAACCTGCCAGGACCCATTTCTTTGTTTTGGCTGAAAATTACAAAAGGATCACTTGCGATGATTTGCTCTGCATCCTTTGCCACATGTTCATGTTGCTAAGATAATTTCTCTCTTAACCCAGCTCTCTGGCTAATCAAAAGATTCATAACTGCTTATTACAAAGCCCTGCTTTGAATTCTGGTTGCACTTCTCCAGAAATCCTTTAACTGGCAGAAAGTGACAAGTGCAGGCCCCCCCTGCTGGCATTGGAATGAATTTCCCCGCATTCAACTCTGCTGCTTCTCAGTCACCGAAACATGTTAACTGGCTGCTAACTCAAACTGTGCTGGGGAATCTGCTGGCGTTTGGACCTCTCCAAATATTTATTTATATCCATTTTCTACAATATCTGCACTCAAAGCAGCACAGAATTAAAATACATACATATTGAAAGAACGAGAGCGTCAAATCACACAGTAAAAATAAAATTATGGAAAAATGGCAAAGAAATTAAAATTGGGCAGATTGGCCATTTCATACTTCATTTTGGCAATACATATAGAGGAGATTAATGATGACCCAGTAACAAGGCATGAACATTTCCTAAGGAAATGAAATGGAGAGAATAATTCAGTAGCCAGACATAGACGATAACTAAAGTGTTAAAGACTGAATAAGAGTGCCTCTCAAGCAGAAATTGGGCTTAAGTTGCATACATTTTGTTTTAAATGAGTTTTCAAAGGATGGGTCCTGGATATGACCTCATTCTTAGTCCTCAGATATGAAGTTGTAAAGAATCCCTTTGACTCTTCATGCTTTCTTTAGAGATTGGTGGGGGGGGGGGGGCAGGAAGGAAGAAAAGGAAGAATTGTGCTTTTGACAGTACATTTTGGTATACATTGAAAATGCTTCAAGTCACTTTTATTTGGAGAGGTTAAACCAGGGAGATGCACACAGAATCTGGGAAAGAATACCTGAAAGCCAGTGACAGACAGCAATGAGATTAAGAATGACGTTTGCTCAAATAACAGAACTTTTACGTGCCCGTGGAGCTTTTCCAACATTTAACAAGAAGTGTGATTAAAACAGAGGTTATGATTATTTTAACCCTCTTTGTCCAGTAACACCTTTACTCATGGCTACAATATTTCTGGAAAGGTTATTTCCACTTAGCAAAGCCTTTCTGCAATGTTGATTAAATGGTTCTGCCCATTTTATTATTTCCTGTTTGTAGTGGTTGGGGGATTTTGTGATAAACCGCCCACTAATTCTTCAGCTTCTGCTCCAAAGGAGGGAGAGGCTTTGAATATTTGTTTTCTTTTATCATATGTCTTTTTCTTTTTGAATAGCAAATACCGGTATTTTCCTATAAAAGATAAATAAATAATATAAGAAAACTAGTAATTTAATGTCTCAATCCCATCCAGAATCTTATACAATAATAACAATAAAAGTTCTTTTTATTAAGGACCCAGAGCCTCTTTAGTTTCAAGGGAACCCATTTTTCTTTACAGTTAAACCCTTGTGTCGGCAGGTCTGATGACCGAAAGGTCAGCTGTTCGAATCTGGGGAGAGCAGGTTGAGCTCCCTCTGTCAGCTCCAGATCCCCATGCGAGGATATGAGAGAAGCCTCCCGCAGAAATGGTAAAACATCAAACATCTGGGCATCCCCTGAGCAACGTCTTTGCAGATGGCCAATTCTATCGCATCAGAAGCGACTTGAAGTTTCTCAAGTCACTCCTGACACACATATACACTCAAAAAAATATTAAGGAACCAGTAAGTCTTGTCATATACCAAAACACCACATTGTGTCCCCATTAGACATAGAATGAAGTTGAGAGAATATGGCATATTCAGGTCATCCAGGAAATATGATATTTACTTGAGTCTAATGGTTACATTTTTTTACTAAATTCCATAGCCAAAAATGAGGTGCACATTAAATTCAATGGAGCATTAGAATTGTCCACATAAAGCCATCTATTCTCTTGTCAGCCCTACTCTGGTTAACTTGCCAAACTTGGCCTCCCCCCAGGTTTTGTCCATCTGTCAGACCAAGGCTGGCAAGTCTGCCAGCCTCAGCCAGATGGAAGGGCATGGCTACTCCTTGCATGTTGACCATTCTGAGACAGGCAGCTGAATAGCCAATAAGCAAAGGGAAGCACATTACATTCGATGACAAGTCTTTTTTTTTTTGACAATGTGCACTTTCAAAATTGAGGTGCGCATTACAATCGATGGCACATTATACTCAAGTAAATATGGTATATACCAGAAGAATTTCTGGCTCATAACACATGTTTCAAAACTTGAATAGTTACTCTTTAAAAGTATTCATTCCCAGGTTCTCACATTTACAAATTTGTGTGTTCAGCATTTACAGATCCTATTAATCGCAGATTTGCTGTTTTCCCAAAGTCTTCTGGTGTGTCTGCTTCATGAGGAAGTATCCACCCACCTCACTGAAGTCTGATGGTTTGTAGAATTTGGTGAGCAGTGACAGGTAACTGAAATTGCTGCTACTCTGCTCCCCAAAGTTTTGGAAATGGCACAGCACTCCTACTCCCTCTTGCTGGCTATACAAGAAAGCCTCACTCTGTCCTTGGAGAAATTCATTTTTTTCCAATTTTGTAGGGTTCTCCATCCCTAACCCTCTGCAAATGAAGAGGGCTAACCATAGTCACAAAATATACTCTATAAATGCCAAAATCTACCATATGACAAAAATGACCCCCCAAAAGAGAAGGCTTTTTATTTAATTTTAGTGGTTTATGTCATAATTCATGTTTATATGTTGGGTTGTTTAAATTTTGTTAGTAATTGATGTTTTGTTGTTGTATTCGGACATTGAATGTTTCCCTTTTATGTTTGGAATTCACCCTGAGTCCCTCCGGGAAGATAAAGTGGAATATAAATAAATTATTATTATTATTATTTGAAACATAACAAGATTAATACACAGCAAACAAGATCACTCTGCTGGCTGTTGTATTGGATCACATGTTGGACACTTCCCAAGTGTCTAGGATTGTGTGATGTATTGGCAAATAATGTGTGCAGATCCTGGTAGGGTGGCCTTTTGCAGCTAACAGATGGTAATTTTGTCAGTGGCGATTTTGTCTAAGTGCAGGCTAAGGTCTTTTGGCACTGCGACCAGTGTGCTGATCACCACTGGGACCATTATATAATCAGTGGGACCGAATAATAATAATAATAATAATAATAATGATAATGATAATAATGATAATAATAATAATAATTTTCAAATGCTGGCTGAGATCTTTTGGCACAGCACTCAGTGCGCCAGTGACCACTGGGACCACCTGTACTGGTTTATGCCAGAGCTGTTGCTGCTGCAGTTTGATTTTGAAGTCTTGATAGCGGCTGAGTTTTTCCTGTTATTTGTCCTCAATGCAGCTGTCACCTGGTATGGCGACATCAATAATCCAGACTTTTTTCTTTTCCACAATCATGATGTCTGGTGAATTGTGTTCGAACACTTTGTCAGTCTGGATTCGAAAGTTCCACAGTATTTTTGCATGTTCATTTTCCATGACCTTTGTGGGCTTATGATCCCACCAATTCTTTACTGCTGGCAGGTGGTACTTGTGACATAAGTTCCAGTAAATCATCTGGGTCACAGAGTTGTGTCTTTGTTGTAGTCCAAATACATCGACAAAATCACAATCTGTCAACTGCAAAAGGCCACCTTACTTGGATCTGCACGCATCATTCGAAAATACATCACACAGTCCTAGACACTTGGGAAGTGTTCGACTTGTGATTTTTTGATATGAAATCCAGCATATAGATCTCATTTGCTGTGACATACTGTGCTTTTGTGTCATAATAATAATAATAATAATAATAATAATAATAATAATAATAATAATATCTTAACAAAGATATTAGCTAATTCTGGATTGTAAAATATTATATGTACCAACAAGATAATGAACCTGTACAGACTGTCTTCATCCACCTCCCCTGCTTTTTTCTTTCAGGTCATATGTGCAAAAGTGTGTAACAGCAAGGAGTCCTAGTGTAGCAAAGATGATATGCGACACTAGGTTGCAAGGCTGACGGACAACTATTCATTTTATAATAAATGCTTGGAAGCAGGATATCAACACATCCCCCTGAGTCAACAACTTCTGTTCCTGATGCTTTCACTCATAAGGACTGAGAACTTGGGAATGTTTCCTGTCAAGGACACGAAATAGAAATAATGGAAGAGAAATAAGAGGTCCTCATATCATATTGCATATTTCTCAGTAAGCTCTAGTCCCCAAACTAGGCAATAAAAATGTTCTCTTGCTGCATAGGAAAGGACATACCGTCAAACAGCCCATCAGACTCTGTTCAAAGGGCCTCTGAAATGCTCTTGGATCCCCACACCAGTCCAGGAGTTCTGTAGCTGCATTGTGGAAGTTGGCAGGATTCTGTAAGTGCTGAGGGGGAAAGAGGAAATTAAACGTAATTAGGTAAATACATACTCTCTTGACTAAATGTGTTTTATAGTAGGTATTTTATAGGTACAGCTGGCATAACTTATACATAGCATCTAATTTTCTCTCTCACTGATGTGCACACTAAAATGCGTAATCAATGCCAATGGCTTACCATTCAAGTGTTGTGATTTCACCTGGCTGAATGCCACTGTTCTGGCTTTAGCAACAGGACTCCAACAGTGTTACTAATATCTACTTGGCCTCAAAGTTCAGAAAATTACATTTTGTTTGTGAATCAAATCCTACCTTTCCAAGATTAGTGGCAAAAAACCTGAGGTGCCCAAACCACATGCTTCCACTCTCATTGATTCCACATGTATAGTTCATATTCATCTGCTGCTGTCTTTGTCATGGCAATTACATGTAAAGGATATAAGTCACATGTAGCTGCAACATATAAATTAGCTTGATCCTATACTGTCTCATTCAATATACAATGATATCTCGACTTAAGAGTTCAATTTGTTCCATGTCTGAATTTTTAACTCTAAACGCTCTTAACTTAATGCGGATTTGCCCACTGAAATGCACTGAAATGCTATTAATCCATTTTGTGTTTTTAAATAAGAAAATGTATTTTATAAGTAACAAATAATGTATAAATAATGTATAAATGAACATTAATATTGGACAATAAAAAAGGAAGATCAACTTTAAAATGATAAAAACATGAAGTTGTGACACGGAATCACAAAGCACAAAGCAAAGAGGCATAGCATCATTTCTTCATACTGTGCTCATTCCAGCCTCCCTTCCTCTCTTATTCTCTCTCTCTTTCCTTCTTTATGAAGCCAAACATACTAGGAATAAAAACCACACAAATCAACTGATCTAAAGTTCCTCAAAGAGGACAAGAGAACAAGGCACGAGGCACAGAGGCTGCTTCCTTGGAGCCCTAAAACCCTGTACTCTCATGGTAGTGCTCCCTCTGGAGCTAGCTCTTAACACAAATGCTACTTGTATGTCAAAGCAAAATCCAGACTGAGCAATTACTCTTAACTCAAAACACTCTTAATTTGGGATGCTCTTAAGTAGAGGTTTGTGTGTGTGTGTGTGTAGTTCCTTTAGTCTGATCACATAGCTGATTAATTGCCTATGTGTTTCTTAAGCAGCATGGTACAACCTGATTGATCAAATCTGAACTTCAATTCCTACTTATGCATATAATTTAGCAAATGAGCTTTGGTCACTATTTCTTGGGTTAACCAACCTTAAAATGTGAAAAACCCAATTATATTGCTTTGGGCTTCCTGGAAGAAGAAAGTATGATAAAAATATTAAAAATTACTGTAATTTCTGGATCCCCCTCTTGACAAATACATGGTTGTCTTCTTTACTTCTGACATTTAAATGCCAGCTTATCCCCCCCCCCCCCCCCCCCCGCCACACACACAACATATTAATTGTGTGAGCATCTGATGAGTAAGCAAATATTTAGTTCCTGATGCAGCGAATGTACTTTTTCCACAAATCTTTGAATCCCAAATTATTTTAAAGTGTTATGGGTTATATAGGGTTTTATGCACACTATCAGTTATCTTGAGCAGTTTCTCAGGAAAGGTAGGAGATACCTGTCATATGTTCTGCAGTTGATGGTGGTGGTGATGGAAGGGTTAATGTGAGTATTACTTCTAGAGGGTTTGGTAAGCTGTAGGTGGGAGTTCACGGGTGAAAGCAATTAGGGGTGGAGGTGTGCAAGAGATGGGTTGCAACTGGGTGTTACTGGATTTAAGGAGCTAACCTTGAAACTCATTTTTGGGAGAAAAGTATCTGTTGTATTTTGGTGGTGGATGCTGTTGGTTTTCCCTCCCAGGTCTGTTGGATTTCTCGGTATCCTGACCTGTCTCCTGTAATCTTGGAATCCTGGAACCTTGAACCTTTGGACTGGCTTTTGACTACGGTATAGACTCTGGATCCCTGGACTTTGTTTATTGAACTCTTGGCATTTGACCATTGGACTGGACCCTTTTGACTACAAAGTTATTTTTGCTATCAGTTTTTGTTTATTCTGTAGCTGCGAGCTAACTTTGGGTTTTATATTTTGGACTATAAAAACAGCCAGCAAATAAGTGCTATTTTAATTAAACTGTTTGTTAAAACTGGAGGTTTGATTCATCTCTAGCTAAACAAGGTAGAGCCCTAGCAACGTGACAATACCCAACAGAGTGGGAAAAGTAAATTGTAAAATAATAAATTATAAAATAATAAAAAATAGAGATAAACATTTTGCACCCATGGATGTCAACATGTAAGAAGTATCACACGGTTCCTCCAGCCCCATTAAAAAGAAGTATTTATCTCCTATTATGCCTTGGAGGAAGAAATGAACTTGTCCCTAGTGGAAACCTGTCGAGCTAATGCACGCTTGACTGTCTCAATCTCAGTGGGACTGACTAAATCACAGCCATGTTCTGCAAAGTTCAGTTTCTGCCCTTTTGCATCAAAGTACTCTTGCCATGAAAATGATCAAGAAATTTAAGGGGTGGAAAGAACTTTGCCGTTAAATCTCTATGTAATTTGCTTTTAAATCCCTTGAGAAAAGACCACTGTGATGGATGCTTATAGTTCATCATTTTCCCTATCTAAGCATTTTCTGCAAGGACTTAGCATTCACCTTACTAGCTAATATTCCATATATGCCTTTGGAGTTATTACAGGAAATGTAAATATAGCAATATATACAGTAACAGAGGGATATACTTCATCCACCTGGCATCATGCATAAGGGATTATCTACTTGATAAAAATAGCAGCCCGAGAAATGGAGTTCCATGGGGATTGTCGTAGTATTCACAACTCTCACAAAACAACAATACACATTGTTCTCTGGGGGAAATGATAACTTTTAGGAAAGCCATGAGATAAATAACAAATTAAAATAAATTAAAGTACAGAATACACTAGAATGGCTCTAGAACAGTGGTTCTCAACCCGTGGGTCCCCAGGTGTTTTGGCCTACAACTCCCAGAAATCCCAGTCAGTTTACCAGTTGTTTCTGGGAGTTGAAAGCCAAAACATCTGGGGACTCCAGGTTGAAAACCACTGCTCTAGAATGACATCACATCCTCCTCGTCCCTATTTACTAAGGTACCCTAAGAAAGAAAAATCTACTGTATTGAGGGGGGAAAAATCAATTTCCTCCTCAAATTCTGTATCAAAAAAGTATTATGTCTACTAAGATGAACAATGCTTTTTTTCTCAATTTAATGGTGTAACTTGCATGCCAGGGAGCAGCGTGAGCTCCCACTGTTAGCCCCAGCTTCTGCCAAACTAGCAGTTTGAAAACATGTAAATGTGAGTAGATTAATAGGTACTGCTCCAGCAGGAAGGTAACGGCGCTCCATGCAGTCATGCTGGCCACATGATCTTGGGGTGTCTACAGACAACACCGGCTCTTTGGCTTAGAAATGGAGATGAGCTCCAACCTCCAGAGTCGGACACAACTGGACTTAATATCAGGGGAAAACCTTTACTTTTACCTAATTTGCATGCTGTAATAGCAGCACCAGATTGCATCTGATCTTAGAAGCTAGCCAGGGTACGATAAGTTGAAATTTGATTACTTTGAGGGATTTGGGGGAAAGTGACCTTCCTTTCTGGAAGTTGTAGTTCACCCATAAACAGAGAAACTGTGACCTCCACCGATGATGAACCTGGACCAAACTTGGCACACAGAACCCCCATGAATAACTTAACCTACTGAAAGGGTTTGAAGGGACTAAGTCCCCATAGTGGGAGGCAGGGGCGGCTCAACCCATTACGCGAAGTAAGCATTTGCAGTATAGTTGATTTTGCCCAGGGGCGCTCTTGAAGCGCTCTTGGAGGAAAATAGACCTTGACATATGCGAGTTGTAGTTATTGAGATGTATAGTTCACCTACAATCAAAGAGCATTCTGAACTCCACCAATGATGGAATTGAACCAAATATGGCACACAGAACTCCCACGATGAACAGAAAATATATATCAGTGATTGGTTGGGGGCGGGGGGCAAAATACTGTTTGCTTACCATTGAAAATTACCTAGGGCCGCCTCTGGTGGGAGGTATAGTTTACTCTACAGCCAAAGAGCACACTGAACCCCACTGATGTTGCATCTAGTGCAAACTTGCCCAACATAACAAACTTTAAGTACTGATGGAGTTTTTCGGGGTTAACCTGGCGTTATGCCACTTGTAGTTCACCCACAACCATTATGGATTTTGTACAATTAAAAAACTGACTTTTTCAAATAACCTGGGCAATGCTGAGCACCCAAACTAGTATTTTAATAAAAGTGATTGACTTATGATAATTTCAGCATTTTGTTTCTCCAGAATTAAGTTATTAATTATAGTATTCATCAAATGCTCAATAAATTTAAAGAGCCAACTAATTTTACATTGCCATTTGGTTCTTTTTTAAACAGATGCTTTTTCTTTTTGTTCAAAATCCCACAGGAAAGGAAATTAAAAAGCCTAGGTCACAGGTAGTAAAGCTTACTTAAGAAAGACTGCTAACTTTCTTTGTACCCAAATCTTCCACCTGTATCCTACTCCTGACACCCTATTGAGATCTTACATCTTAAAAGCTGGGACTTTCATGAGATCTACGAGAAAGTAACTAAATTAAAGAAAAGCAGTGGGCAAAGAGATGAGACTATATGGAAGAGGGAAAAAGAAAGGGAGAAAGAGAATAGATAGATAGATATAGAGAGAGATCTAGAATGTGTGTATGTTTGTGTACGCGCACACATACAGGTGTTTCTTTCTCTGAAAGCCCAAAAGGGGACAAGGAGAGAAAAAAAATAAAAAATGTATTTCATTTTGCTTTTATGGTGCTATATTTTTAGTATTGTATTAGAACACAGATTTCAGTCAAAAGTTAATTAATTTCATTATTACAAGAACCCCCTCCAATCTTGACATAATGGAATTAGACTTCTAAACAAGGCAACGTTT